ATATGTACGAGTTTGTGCGCAGTGCACACATGTATAAGATCAAATTAGAAGTAGGGAGCTGCCCCTGGGTCTGGGGTTTCCAAAGGGGCAGTGCCCCTAGCGGGGTCCAAGCGGCAGAGCCGCTGGCTGGGGTCCCGCTAAATTCCAGATTTTACATATGGGAACATAGTGGTAAAAATCGAATTCTTGAGGGTGATTACGGTAAAGCTAACGAAATTCGTTAGTTTTGAAAACCCTAAATTCTCATTAAATTCCGGATTTTCCTGACTTGCTTCCAAAGCAACCCATGACGGCCAACCCTAAGAAGAAAACCCTAATCTCGTTTATTTACTCTTCTCTTTGAGAAGCGACACACGAAAATCATTAGCTCTTTTTTCTTCAGACGAACATAAAATTCTTCTAGCGACTTGGATTACGATTTTTGTACATAGATTCGTAAGTGTTCTTTTGGATTATTTTAGTCTGAATTTCTTGCAACCCATACATAGGGTAGAAATAGCATTTCGGAAAATGTCCACACGATCCAAAAGATATTCACAGGGCCGGTCCATTGTTTTTTACTACCCGGGGCGAGATAAAAAAATTATGCCCTTATATGTGTAACGTACAATAACAAAAACATATAATCAAATAATGTAATAATTTCTAATATAAAAAATGCAGTAATTTTTATAATCAAACAAATAACACAACCAAAATATACAAAAAATCACCTAAAACGATGTCTTCGGGCATTTTTTGAAGCGAAAACATCTCTTATTTTACAATAATCAATATTTTTTAGAAAATCACTTTCAATACTTAAAATTGCTAATCCATTCAATCTTTCTTGAGTCATGGTACTTCGGAGATACGATTTCAAAAGCTTCAATTTTGAAAAACTTCTTTCCGCGGAAGTAACCGTAACTGGCACCGTTAATAATATCCTATATGCAACCAACACATTAGGGAACATATCCATTCTTCTTGCATACTCCATTATTTGAATAGATGTCCAAGGACTTCGACTTTTGTATGCTTCATCCGGCAACATTTTCTGCAAAAGTTTTAACTCAATGAATAAACCATCTCCATCAATATCATAATCTTCACCATTTTTCAAATTGGACTCAAGATTTAAACAACATTTCTTTAATTCATCATCAACTAAAGAAACTAATTTGGAACCATCAAACAAAAAACCAAATATCGATTCAAAATATTGCATTTGTTCAAATCTACTTTTTTAATTGAACAACAGCCATATCAACAAGAATAAAAAAATAATCTCTTTTAAATGCTTCTTGAGAAGATTGGTGTTCTCTTTCGGTATTTGGAATTTCATCAAAATGTTGTTTTCTTTTTTTATTGCGTTTTTGAGGAAATTCGGGTTTAACTTTAACACTATTTGCTATTTCTTTTGCTTCACTAATAGCAAAGTCAAACCCACTTTCCCTATATTCTTCAAAATAATTAATTAACCCTTCTAAATTTTTTACAGCAACATCAAGAAGCATTTCTTTGGATTGTAACTTTTTGCTTACCAAATTAATTTTGTACAAAATATCATACCATATAACTAAACTTAAAATAAATTCAAAACTAGAAAATTCACCATTTACTAGTGAATCAGCATCTCTACACACTTGTCCATTATCACTTATTATAGATAGTTTTTTTAAAGCTTTTCTTATTTGATAAAATTGTGTTTTTATTGCTTTAACACATTCAATATGACTTTCCCAACGAGTAGCTGATAATGATTTAAGTGTTAGATCATCAACAAACTCAAGTAAAACACTCCATCTTTTGGTTGAATTGGAAAAAACATTATAAAGCGTTTGACATGTACCAAAAAAAGTTTTTGCCTTTTGGCAAGAATTTGCCATATCACACAAAACCAAATTTAAACTATGACATCCACAAGGCATATAAAAAGCTCTATTATTTATATCAAGCAATCGTTTTTGAACACCTTGGTGTTTACCTTTCATATTTGCCCCATTATCATACCCTTGACCACGAACATAATTAATATCCAAATCAAGAGATTTTAGGGCATCTTGTAAAACATTAAAAAGACCAAGACCGGATGTATCTTCTACAATTAAAAACTCTAAAAAAAACTCTTCAACTTTTAATGGAACACTTTCCAAATCTACACATCTTATAATCAAAGTCATTTGTTCTTGGTGACTAGCATCCGGAGTGCAATCAAGAATTATAGAAAAATATTTTGCCCTTTTGATTTTTTTTATAATTGCACATTTTACCTCGGATGCTAACATTTCAATTAATTCATTTTGAATTTTATGACTAAGATAATGATTATGTGTTTCTTTGTCTTGAATCATTCGAAAATGTTCTTTCATTACCGGATCCCACTCCGCAATTGATTCAATTACACTTAAAAAATTGCCATTTGAGTTTTCATAAATTTTTTCATTTGTACCACGAAAAGCCAAGTTATTTTTTGCTAAACATTTTACAACAGAAATAATTCTAACCATAACTTCTTTCCAATGTTCGGTATCTTTTTTTATCATTTCTTGAATTTCTTTGTCAATTGTTTCGTTTTTATTTAACCTAATTCGCGTTTCATTCCATGTTCTTAAATTATCCATATGATCGGAACTATTTTCATGTTGTTTTAATGTTTCACTAAGATGCTTCCAATCTTTAATTCCTTCGGTTGCCAAACTACTTTTAGTTCGATTAGTTTTAAACAACTTACAACAAAAAACAAAAAACTTTATCAAGTTCTTTTGAATACACTAACCATTTTCTATCAAAAGAATCACCATTTCTTAATTTCCGAATGAAAAAATCAAATGAAAAATGTCTACCAAGTGAATCTTTTGGAAAAATTGTGTTGGTATCAACTTCTCTATTTGGCCCTTTTTCTATTAGTAAATCTTTCATTTTTGAATCTAAATCATCCCATACTCTAGGATCAAAAATATTAAAATCACTTGGTTTATCTTTATTAAAAAAATCATTTTTTTCAAAATCATTGGAAATATCAACCGAATCATTGGAAGTACTAGGTGGAACATTAAAATTATTAACCGGATCATTGGAATTTTGATTTCTAACAAAATATTTATTCAAAGACCCTCTTAATTGATTAGCCTCTTCTTGTTCTTTTCTTTTTCGTTTTCTATTTTGAGCACCCGATGGTTGTTTTCGGGGAAACATATTTAAAAATCAGCAAAGAAAAAAGCTAAGCAAAGAAAAAAAATCAATAATTCTAGTTATAAAAGTTAAGCAAAGAAAGATACAACCTGGCCAAAGTTTTCATTTTTATTTCCCACTTTGAAGATGCCAATAATCCGAAAATTAAAACATACAATCAGAAATACAATGAAATAAATATATACCTTTCAAGATTAAAACTACAATGAAATAAATATATACAATGCCAATAATCTGAAAATTAAAACTACAATAAAATAAATATATACCTTTCAAGATTTCAAAATAAACAAAAATCAGCCTCCCAAGTCCCAAGTCCTAATTCACATCACAGAAACAAAAACAAAACTTTAGATAATTCAGAAACTGTGGTACAAAAACAAAACTTTAGATAATTCAGAAACTGTGGTTGATGTTCATACAGAAATAAAAAAAAAAAAATCATTAGAAGAAAAATAGAAAACTTACCCTAATAAGTTGAAGAGCACAAAAAAAGAATTCAGAAACTGTGGTTCACTTCGTTTTCTATTTGAAAACAATTGAAAATTCCAATTTCCAAATCTGCAACTCAAACAACAAATCACAATATTCAATTAATCATATTAAGAAAAAAGAAACAATGATTGAAGAAAACTCATAGACTCACAGTCAATTGAAGAAAACTCACCCAAAATTCGAGTTTATCAGAATGAAGAATATAAATTGACAAATTGCAATCAGAAGAAAACTCAGTAACTCACGGGCTCACGGCTGTGTTTGATTTCTTGCCTTCTTCACTGGTTCGTACTTCCCTTCGTTTGTTGTCAGTAATTACTAATTAGAAATCATCAAAGATTTATTGATTGAAATTGAAAGCATCGGCTGAATAAGAAATTGATTGAATAAGAAATTGAGAAGAAGATTGAATAAGAAATTGAGAGGTCAAGATTTATTGATTGAAATTGAAAGCATCGGCTGAATCGGTGATGCTCACACAACAAACACGTTGAATCCATTCGACCGTTGTTCGACCGACTCCTCATCTCCCGACTCCTCATCTCCCGATTGCGCTAAATCGCTAATTCACTTGGCGCTCAAGATCGTTGAATCAGAATGGCGAATGCCCTAATGCCGACCGCGACTTGGACTGTTAGAGTAATTGTTGGACGCCTGGACTATTAGAGTAATTGCCAATTGGGTTTAATTTTTGGGCCAAAATTATATATATATATTATAAATTACTGGATAAAAAATATGCCCCCATTTTTTTGATGCCCTGGGCCTAAGCCCAACTTGCCCATGTAGTTGGGCCGGCCCTGGATATTCATATCTCCAATATAAACCTTAATTCCTCCGGCTTTTGATACTTAAAAAAAATGATGAAAAGCATCTATTTTTGTATTTTTTTTTTTCCCGATGTCATTTTTTTTTTTTTGTCATTCGTTAATACAAAAATAGCTTTATGTTTTTTTTATTTTTTTTCCATCCATAGTTCATGAGTTTTTTAGGTCGGCGTCTATTTGAACGAACTAGTAATAAAAGACCCTTGGTTACTGGACAATGGACATGGACGACAGAGCATTTGATTTTTTAAAGATTTAATAGTTTGCACCCTCAAAATCAAATCAACATATCTACTCATAACGGTTCTCCCACTTTTACATTCACGAGCATTATCAATCTTTAATAACATTGTTATTGCTGCCTTTCTTTTTCGGTGTAGCCCCACCGCCCCCACGCACACTCCTCTGTCGAGGGCCGATGGACTAATAACCAACGCAAAGCAAAACCTTATAAAAAACGAATAATCTACTAACTACAATCTACACACAAAAACAAAAACAGACATGGAGAATATACAACATAAGTCAATCAAAGTAAATGGCATCACTATGCACGTGGCTGAGATCGGAGAAGGCCCTGCCGTGCTTTTCGTCCATGGCTTCCCGGAGCTCTGGTACACATGGCGTCACCAGATGCTGTATATATCCTCCAAAGGCTACCGTGCCATCGCACCTGACCTTCGTGGCTTTGGAGATTCGGAAGCACCGCCTTCCTCCACCAGCTACACGGCCTTCCACATCGTCGGAGACCTGGTGTGCTTGCTTGACTCGTTGGGGCTGGACAAGGTTTTCCTAGTGGGTCACGACTGGGGTGCTATAATCTCATGGTACCTGTGTCTTTTCCGGCCAGACCGTATCAAGGCTTTGGTTAACATGAGCGTCGTGTATAATCCCAGGAATCCCTTGGTGAAACCTGTCCAGTTCATGCGACAGACTTTTGGCGACGATTTCTACATCTGCAGGTTCCAGGTGATTCATGATTACTACCCTCGTTTTCATTTTCATTTTTTTCTTTTAAATAATAAATGTTAGATTCTTTTTTATTATTATTATTATTATTATTATTATTATTATTATTATTATTATTATTATTATTATTATTATCGACACATCTACTTTATTATAAAGATTTTTTTTGACACACGTTACATTATTATTCACTAGGTGTAAAACCCGTGTATTACACGTTGATTAAAAAGAAAATAATTTTGAAATAAGAAATGAAGAAAAATATTAATTGTAATTTATTATAATATGTATTACATTTGATACTTTACATATATTTTTTTTTGAAACGGCAAATCTAACCTACTCTTAAACTACACCTTAAATCCACCTATGTCCACGACGGGACTTGAACCTTCAACCTCAAGGAGGGAGGGCAACACCGGGTACCGCTGGGCTAGAAGCCCTTTGGTTGATACTTTACATATATATAACTATAAGATTATGTCGCTTTTTAATTTTAAAAATTGAAAAACCATAAAATGACAAGTGAATATTATTTATTTAAAAAATATCACAAAATGACAAGTGTCAAAACTCATTAGAGATTGACATGCGGCAAAAAACCTTCATTTATTAGAGAGGATTTTGCCACATCTAATTTTATGGTTATTTTAAATTAATTTTTATTCCACTTGTTATTTTATGGCTTTTCTATTTTATTAAATTTCATATATTATTTAAATTTAATAATAAATGCATATTAATTTAATTAATGACATTCCTTCTAATTTCAAAATTACTAAATTAAAGTTTCATTATTTATTTTTATTTATCTATCTAAATTATTTGTTTAAATTTAAAAGAGAAAAAACACACTTTAATTTTTATAATTCAATATTTTTTTTTCATTTTTCTTATAAATTCAAAATTTTCAAATATTTTAAAATTTATATTTAAATTTTCTTTTAAATAAACTCATGTAATACATGAGTCTTACACCTAGTAAAATTTTTAAACATATACACCTCGTATCAAAGCTTTTACACACAAAAAATAAAAATCTACATATTTAAAACAAATACTAGTGGTAAATGATTTATTCTTTCAAAAGGCATAGGTGGCCATTAGATGGCATGGGGTGGGGGTTAAGTGCCGAGAGGGGGTAGCCTGAGTAGTGGTAGTGTGGATGGTTGGTTCGGTATTGTTCCAAAGGAGGTTTCATGGAAAACAACATGGCAAGAGGTGATGAGTGGATAGGTCGTGACATCTAAAACCTCGATGACAATTCGAGTGACCAAGGAAAACACATAGTATTGAGAGTAAGGAGAGTTTTTTTTATGGGTATGGATCTGAGGGTACCAACGGCACCCGAAAACAATAAAGTGGGAAAATGGTGGGGGTTTGCTGAAGAGTTCGATGAACATGATTTGATTGTGGGTAGTCACAGATATGGTAGTGTATAAGAGGTAGATTGCCATATGTAAGGCTTCCACCCACTATATTGGTAGAAGATGAACATGGAATATGAGAGTACGAGTGATGTTATTTAGAGTTCTAGTCATACATTCACATCTCGTTTTGTTTTGTTGGGTTGTGCAAGGACACTAAAAAAAAAGGTATGCAAATTTTGGTAGAAAAGTAAGTGGAATTTGTGGTTATCGAATCTGCCCATGCATCGTAACGACTTTATTTCACAAATGAATTGAGTTTTTACATAAGCGTGAAAATATAAAATTTTGGCAAATACATCATTTTTACGTCTTAATGTGTAAATCTTGACAAAATGGAAAAATGATCAAAAATAACTATATGTAGTCTGAACTAAGTAACAGGGATGTCTATAAATTTAAGTAAACAATATTAAACAAATTTGGAACCTTAGAAATTGAATTAGAAAAAAAACGACGAATATGCTTATAAGTTGGTAAGCATGCCACGACAATTACTAGTGCTTTTATTACAAGAAGACGAATATGCTTGCCAAGGTATTGGAAGTTGCTACTACTAATCATAAGACGCAACTGAGGGGCGACGGTTGTCAGATTTTATGCCCTGGATGTTGAGATGGCCTGCTATTTTGGTTGTGAGGGTTCCAAGAGTTTTAACAAACAAAAATGATATATGATGGGACTCGAATCCGCGTGCAAAATTGTTGGAGGATGTAAGTGTTTACAGTGGATAACTTGTGTGAGGCACGTTTTAGAAAGACATTGCTTCTCTAAAAGAAGTATTCTCTCTGTCCCAAATTAATAGTCCATGTTTCCTTTTTGGTGTGCCGAAAAAAATAGTCTACTTCTAAAAATGAATATCACTTTTACCAAAATATCCCTCATTATTAATTAACAAAATGCAACCACCATGGAATTAAACTACCTTTGAATTAAATGCAACCACCATGGAATTATATGTAACAAAATGCTACAATTGGCATTTCATTTAATAAAGTTAGTGTTAATTAATGTTTCCTTAATCTATGTGTTTTTTATCTGTGCACAATAATTTTGGGACGGTGTGAGTATTAAACATGCTTTGAGGAAGTTCATGAGAGAAAAACACAGTGTCTGATAACAATAGCGATGTTCTCAAATTAAGGAGTAAATCTCTTGATAAGGTACGTAACAAGTCTTTTCGGGAACGGGATCGTCAATATTAGCCAATAAATTAGAAAGAAGCTTATTCTTATGTAAATATTGGGAGATTGACCAGTCACCTAGAACAATTCTGTGGAATTCATTGTCCAACCATCTTTGGTTTTCATAAAAAGGTCTTTGATACTTTTCCACATAGATTGGGGAATTAGTACCCTTCTTGAGGATCATGGTAAGAAGGGAATAAGTGGTAGTACCATAAATCCACATCTTGAAAATAGAGAAAAATTTATGTCATTTTTTGTTGTAAGTTTCGGTTGGAGAGGAGATTCGTCGAGATGGTTGATGTCGTTGTAATAGATTAAGTGGGTCTCAACCAGTTCACGCCACACATCATAGCTCAATTTGTTTATGTTTAGGGTTAGTGGGAAATATACTTTGATGTTGGTAATTTGTATGTTTTTTATTGGTTGTATAAGTGGGGTGTGGACCATTATTATTAGTAGAGAGAGTATGATATCATATTAAACTAATATAATTTCTTGTGAAATAGTTTTCCTCACAAGAAATTACAAAAGTACGAGTCATAAAGTTAGGTTAATATTAGTAGGTTAAGAAATACAATATTAACCTAACTTTATGACCTAGATACATGTACACTAATACATAATATATGGCTATTCTTGGAATTGGATTAAGTTTCTATCAGCTGATACATCATGTCTTTACAAGGTATGTTTAAAATATCTAAAATCAAAAAACAGTCAAAAAGTGAATTTGAAAAACCAAAAAGTGTACCGATTTTTATTAAGTGAGATTTTCTAACATGTGTCATAAGGGCATACATAGCAATCATTAGTTAATGATAATATTACCATAATTAAATGTGAAATGTATTAATTATAATTAATATTATCATATTTAAATGTGAAATGCATTCATAATCTCCATAATAAATGAATTTTACATTTATGGTAATGTTTTTTTATAATTAATACTTCTTATATGTGGTCTTATGGAATATATTAGAAAATCAATTATTAAGTTACATATTACACAACTACAAGTAGGCGATATTATTTATTTTTTTTAATATTTGGATATATTTGTTTAAACTTTAAATTTGAAATTATTGTTTTGACCTTCTAAAATATTATACCCAAAGATCATCCTCATTTAGAATTTTAATATGAAGATTTTAGTTTTCACACACATGTATTAATTATTAAATGATCAATCAGATAACCTGATAATGAATTTCAAAGAAAAACATTTTTTTTCAGTTGGGTTTAGGTTTAGGTTTAGGCTCACAAAATTAACGAACCAATAGCTTTAGTTAATCTTCTGAAATAAAATTATGTTTTGGTTAACTATACACGAACATCACTTTATAAATGGAGGCATGATAAGTGTTTTAACTTCATCAAAATTCAAATCAAATATATTGATAAATGGTATGATCAGTCATCTCCAGTATGTGATATTTTTTTCTTTAGAAATGAAAATTATAGTATTTTAAAATCTATGTACAAATGAACTTTAACTTTGATATACAGAAGCTTGTATAATTGATGACATTCATTTTCTACATCTCTCATATTAATTTACAAACTCTTAATGATAATTGTAAATATATGATGAGCCTAAGATTGTCTCTCCAAAAAAGCCCTCACTGAAAGAAGGGGGACTCCAACATATATAGCCACTTATAAGGTTGTGTTGCACTGATATGAGATACACTAACAATCTCCCTCATAGTCGAAGGCTCGATGAGGATAGACAAGGATGTGCTGAGTCACGGCGGTGCGAGACCCTAACTCTGATACCATGTAAATATATATGGAGCCCTATATTAACTATCCAAAAGAGCCCTTGTAGAGAGAATGGGGACTCCAACATATATAGCTACTTATAAGATTGTGTCGCATCGATGTACGATACACTAACAATAATGATGGTAATTAGTAATATAGTAAAGCTAATAAGTTCCCAATCGATAAATTTTAATTTTCTTGAAAATATATTATATTTCTTGTAGGAATGAAAGAACAACATATACATAACTCTTTAAAAAATGGCATGTATAATTCATATATATGACTAGTCATTCATTTAGACTTGGTTTTTCTTGAAATACTTGTGATACCAAATTTAACAAATGAATGTTTTATTATCTTCCATGATATTTTGGAAAATACTTTGATATATATATATATATATATATATATATATATATATATATATATATATATATATATATATATATATATATATATATATATATATATGTTTATTATCTTCATATCTAATTCAAGAATAAGCATGCATGAAAAACAGTATTTCAAATAAATTTTTTTGGAAAATATTGATGTTCAAGAATGGTGTACGTTCGGTAACTATAGGAAATAGGATGGGAAGAAGAGTTTGCAAAAGTGGATACAAAAAAACTATTGGCGTCATTTTATTTCAAACGAAATCCAAGCCCACCAATGATGCCTAAAGACTATGCCAAGTTGTTTAAACCAGATCAAACCATGGTACCTTGTTGGTTTACGGAAGAAGACCTTGACTACTTTGCATCCAAATTTCATGCCACGGGATTTGCAGGACCATTCAATTACTACCGTTGTTTTGATCTGTATGTAATCAAAACTAACTTGCTTAATTAATTATTATTTAGTTTATAATTTGATGTTGTAGGGTTACTTGTCTAATTGGGTTCTAACTGTTTTGATTACAGAAACTGGGAACTATGTGCAGCATGGACAGGATCTAAAATTGTAGTCCCAGTGAAATTCATAGTAGGAGACATAGACATAACGTATAACTTTCCAGGAATAAAAGAATACATTCATGGCGGTGGATTCAAGGAATGGGTAACAGGACTGGAACAAGTGGTGGTCATGGAAGGAGTTGGTCACTTCATCAATCAAGAGAAGCCACAAGAGATCAACAACCATATTTATGACTTCATTACCAAGTTCTAATTAATTCATAAGTGTATGTAGGTGTGTTTTATTATAATTTGGATATGATTGATGTAGCTACTCCATATGGTACTTTACTTTACATGCAAGAGTTTTCACATTAAAATTTACCTTACTTTCAAAAGTTTTCACGTCAAATGTTACTTTATAATCAAAATCATGCAAATGACATGTATTCAATTCATGTTATTACACTATTACTTTTAATTTCCATTTTTTATTGTACATGTTATCTGCTAGTTAACACATCTTATTTATACTTAACTGAAGCCTAATCACTTTTAGTGCTACTCCATTTCTAGACCAAAATGGGATGAACAAATTATAATTTTAGAATAATGTTTTCTAATAAAATATTATCCTATAGGGTCGCTCTAAATACAAGGATTTGTGCGGACAAGGTTTGATAACTCAAACATTGAATTAACTTAAAATCAATGTCTATTTGTAATGAACATCTGGTCAAGTCTGATAAACCAGTCTTGTCTCTGAATAGAGACAATCAACAAAGTGCTTAATATGGAATAATAATAAGTATGAGCAATGTAAAGTAATTCAAGCACAAGAAGAATGTAAAAGAGAATGAATGAATGAATGATTCTTGATTAGAGTGAAAATGTGCACACTTCTTTATCTTGATACAAATATGACAACTCCTTAAATAGTCAAGGAGTGACTAAAAGACAAATCATATAAAGTGTGCATGGACTGAGAGACTTCTGAAGATCAACAAATTGACACAGTCATTTTTATTGATCTTGTCTCTTGTACTATACTAGAAAACAATAAGAACAATACAAAATAGTACTTGCAACAATTAATGCATTACAGATAAAAAAAATGTTTCTAAACAACCATAGATCTCGGACAAGTCTTCACTTCAAAACATCTTTAATTCAAACTCAATCTTTAGCTTGGAAGTCTTCATCTCGGATTGCATAAGGATCACTTTTCCATGTTCTAACAATCTCCCCCTAAGTGACCTTACCAATCTTTTGACTTGTCACTTGGCTTCATCAAAGACAAACATGTAAGCACTCTGGAGCCAGCTTCAAACCTTTATGTACCATTAGAGATGCTCAATAAATTTCTTCTTGATGTGTTCAGAAGAATCATTCTTGGAAGAATTTAAGGTGAACTTTTGAAGAATCTTGGTTGGAACAAGATGTTTGTCAAGAACTCGGAAAAATTCTTTTGGATATGTCTTTTTCTTGAGATAGAAAAAACCAAGTCCAGGTTCTTCAATAGGGCCTTCGACTAAGATTCCAGCTTCAGGAAGCTAAGTACTGATTTTGGCCATTAAATTTTTAGTTCTGAACAGGTGAGCAAACTCCACATCAGATCTACAATATTCAGCAATGTACTCATTTAGAAAATTGATAGTAGTTTTTGAAAGCTACAATGCTAGATTCATTTGTCTGACGATCTTTGAGATGAATAGTTATGGTAAGAATGTCATTCGGATTCATCGAAGGAAAGTTGGCATCAATGATTGTAACAGTGGTTTCCTTGTTTCGAGATATGAAATATATGTAGAGAATACAGTCGAAATCAAACTTACTTTGAACCTTTTTACCATAACAGCAATCTTGGTAATTCTTTTTCGAGACCACACTTCCTTTTTGAGGTCATGCATTAATGGAATAGAATGTTCTTAATCTCTCATGCTCAGTTTGGATGATAGTTTGTGGATCATTGTATGGATGCAATGATGATAACTTGATGTAGAAGCGTCCATGGGGAGAGATTGGTAAGTCAAGTTTTTTTGAGTCATTTCTTTGAAGATCAAAATACATGAAGGGCACAAAGTTTATTTCATGTAAGATTCCTTCTCGGTAAAGCGGAGAAAGGCGTAACATCGGATTGGGATTATCTTTAAATGCTTGAATCCGAATGCTTTCTTCCA